GTTATGAGTTAAGTATTGTAGGCTTATCTCATAGAGTAATTTCGGATAGGGTACACCGTCTGCTCGTCACGCTATCTTATTTTCGGCCGGATAGATTCGTGCAACTTCTTAGTCTAATACCGATCCTAATCTTACTCTTATAACTACTAGTCTCAGGGTGTTTAACTAGTCTCTGCTAGGCTCAATAGATCTAGAGTATACTGGTATTGTTGCGGCTGCTGAAGTACTCGGGAGAGGCAACTATTTTCTAAGTTAAATTCAAATCTCTCTGGTGCTGAAATTACAAATACTTTCAGCACTTACAAACAAGTGGGTTGTTAGTTAGATGGATTTTGATTGGTTAATCTTAAATACTTTTCAGTGGTAAAATATCTAAATTATAAATAATAAAATGTAGTTTAGATTAGGTTCCACCCATCCGGGGTTTACAGAGTTTTTGAGTTCTATCTCTTTTTTCTGCAATTGAAGGATGGATGATGAACGTTGGTATGTGGCGAACATCATTTTGTTTTTCTTGTTCATTGGAGAAGAGAGGTCCTTGACTAGAACCGTCGACATGATTTCTCTTTAAGAGAAAAGTTCCAGAACGCTGGAATTAGGGATAGGAAGTTATCTTCTTGTCGTTTGTCAACGAACGTGATCCTTAATGAAATCGTTTAGATTTCAGAATCCAAAATGCTTTGCTATGTCAGTTTTGTTTGCATTTGTGGAGAACTGTTTTGTGATCAGCCTCGTCTAGGAATGGCGTGAAGCTCGTGTTTGGAAGGGATGCCTTGTTACTCGGATCTGTACGTATACTTGAACATCGAGGTGGTCATTGGTCTGGTTCAATGAAGTCCTTTACTGCGAAGTCAAGTCGTACTCTAAATCCTTTGAGTCGTGATTGTAAGCGTCATGTCGGTTGAGTTTTATAGCCATTCTTTTTGTTCAAGCTGTGATGGGATCGTCTAGTCTTTGGATGTTCGTCCTTGTTGTCGTGTGTGATCTATATACTGCATATTATGATTTACATTTTATAGATTTTAGTTAATTGTTTTTTAGTTATGATCTTGGTAAATTGTTTTCACAAAAGCGTTTTATTTTAGTTCAGTTATTTTGAAGAGTTACTCAGCCTTGAGTACCTCTCATTAAAAATAGAGGTGTGGTCACAAAGCGTGGATGTAGCGCGGTGGGTTAGGCCGGCTATAGAGCATGCTCAGGACGTCCTCTCTGGTGGGTTAGGCCAGGAGTGGGAGTATGATTTCATTTTTGTGTTAACATTATATGGTGGTTTTTTCTGGGTTTTCTTATATTACTCATGGTTGTGTCCTTTTTCCAAAAATCAAATTATTTTTGGTTTGGGTTTGTCTTTCGACTTTTTTGTGTTTTATTATTTCTTTCGTGGACTTTATAATAGTCTTCAAAAGAATAAATTATCCAGTTTTAAGCTGGGTTAATCCGGTTTGGGTACCGTTGGTGTTCTTTTTCTTACTCATGCTGTTATTTTATGAATTGTTGTGTTTAGTCATTTGCATTGGTTAGTTTAGTATAGTGTATAATTCCATTCCAACCGGGTTAAAGAAAAGTTGGAAACTTGTTATCGTTAGTTAGAGTTGTTGTTATTGAAAGCATGAAACATAAAATCATTATTTTAAACAATTCTTCGTGGGCGAGCTGTGCGAGTATGGATAGAATTCTTGTGCGAATGAATAAAAAGGCTAGTACTGCTCTTCAACTTATAATCCTACAGCTTGAATTTGTAACTTTACTACATTTTTGGGGGAAATTTGAAATTATAAATTTTCATTGTATGTAATTTTACTGCTTTTAGGGGGGAGAATTTATAAATTAATTTACTGCACTTAGTATAAATTTTACGACATTATTCAGTGCAAAAAGTTTTAAAATATTGAAATTGTTTTAGCAAAGTTGATATTTTTATTCCTTGGTGTTGTAAGGTTTGGATGCATCGGTGAGATACTTTGTTGCGTAGTCGTTACTGTTGTGTGGACTATTTCTTCATTTATGAAGTGTGATGGTGTTTGAATATCTTGTTGTCTAAGATTTCTAGTTCCATTGAAGTTTTCATAATGTATAACTGTTGAGTTTAAACTATTGTTTTGTGTGTCAGTTAAAAATGTATTATAATTTACAGGTGTTGTATCAATTGTTAATGGTATTATTTTTACGTAATCTGGGTGAATAGATATTGTATTTATTGCTTGACTGGAGATGTCAACTGGGATGTTTAAGAATAGTGGGTGAGACCATTCAGGGTCCCAAACGTAATCTGATTGTTCTGCAATGACAAGGTCGTCATTGGTGCTTTGAGGTCTAAAGTTTTTTCTTGCTCGTTCAATTAAATCGATGTTATGTGTAAAAAAATCAATTATGAACCATGCTAGTATTTTTTGTAAATCATGTTTAGTGTTTTGTGAAACATCATTATTGGTAAAGTTTTCACGAATTGCCTTTAAAATGCAGAAAATGCAGTGATTTCATTTCTGACTTTTGTGTGTTTAGATGTCTGGATTGGTGATGTACTTTGAACTTCTCTTGTTTCTAATATAGTTATATTTGTGTATATTATAGCAAAAACTTCATTTGTGAATGTTGAGTTTGCTCTTTGTGAAATATGGTATTGTATATTTTTGATATATTCTGTGAATACCTTTGAAAATTTTAGATCAAGATCGTCTGTTTGAATAACATATTTATCATTTCTTGGTGTACAGATTCCTATAGTGTAGATACCGTATTGTTTTGTTATTTTAGAGATATCTTTGAGATAATGATCTATCATTTGTCTTTTGATTTTTACATCTGGAAATTCTGTTTTACAGGGACTGATTCCTGGTTCAAATAAATTTATGAGTAAAATTTTACAAAAATTTATTTGTCCTCTATCATTTTCTGAATCTATAATGAAGGGGAAAGCGTGTTCGTAATCGAGACTTTCTTCACTTTGAGTGTTGCTCATCTTTTCGTTTGATGACTGTTAATATATAATTATTAATGTGTCTAATTGGTAGACTCCCATTGTATAGATGTACTGGTTTGTGTTTGTGCTTCTTTTTTATTCTGTTTTTTCCTTTTTTCGATGAAATTGTATTTGTTTCTGAATCGGAAAAATTTACTGGGTCCTGGATTGGATAAGTTTGGTTTATTGAGTCTTCTACTTTGTATAGTGCATCGAGACTACTAACTTCTGATTCGGAAAATGCATTTCGGTGTTTTGAAAATCTTTTCGTGTTATTTGTCTTTGTTCGCTCAGGATTGTTCTTTTTAATGTTTGCCGTTTTGTGTGAATGTAATCAACTGTTTAGGTATGCGGGGTTCTGACAAGATCGGATTTTTGATTTTCGATTTTACAATTGTGTATGACGATTGTTTGTTTGTTTCCCAGGTTCTTTAATGACATAAGGTTTAGGATGATGGATGCAAAGTTGTTTTGTAAGTGATTTTAATTTCCTAGACTGTTAGTCCTTACGATTTTTTGGTTAGCTTAGCCTGGGTCTTTTTATTCAGGGTTGGAGAAAAAAGTATATCGATTCCGAAGAATGATTTTTACTTCTTCGTGGCTAGTATAAGCTAAGGTGTTAACTTACTTAATCTTTCTTAGGGGTAGTGATTGTGTTCAAGGGTAGGAGAATAGTAAATCGATCCACAAGGTTCAGATATAATTGGAACGCAAGTAGTTCGTTAGGTACTATTTTAAACTTACTAAGTCTAAGATTAGCCTGGGTCGTATAAGAGGAGGGGTCAAGTGAAAGATGAATAACCGAAGTTCTTCACTTTTTAGCCTAATTTAAATGGTTAGTATTTGGAAAATTTCTATTAGTCCTGGGTCTTTTGAAAAGGTTGGGTAGTGAATCGAAGTTTGAGGTCGTTAGACATTTATTAAGTGGGTGGGGGAGAACAAAATTGTTCTGTTTGATCCAAAGATAAGCCTTGATGATCAGAAATAAAATTAAGAATGGAAAATTAAATTAGATCCAAGGATAAGCCTTGATGATTTTAGGTTTAGAGAATATAAAGTTGAAGATTTAAAATAACAGTTTGTGAATTGAAGTTTTGATGAATTTTAGTTTTGTTGTTAGTTGATTTATGATTGCTGTTATGTTTAGGTGATGAAGCTGGAACAACAAGATGATTTATATTTACTAACAATTATTGTCATGCTACTAATTTTTATTTTTATTTTTGAAAATTATTTTTCAAATATCTTTTATATATTACTGCAGAGGAAGAAACGATTAGAGATGTTTTTATCAATCGTTATTGAACAATAGTAATTTATTTAGCGCCTGGCAGATGCATTGAAGATTTTACTTCAAAGAGTTTTATGTTTGCGAATGAAAATCTCAATTCATTGCCATTAAAATTCTAAATATAAAAGTTTGTGTAGGCTTTTGCCGTACAACCATGAAACTATTTCGTAAGTTTCTCTGTAGTCGTATGTCGTCTCTTGTCTGAGGCCTGTTTCCAATACGTGGTTGTTCTCGTTTTGTACGGAATAGTGGCTTCGATCTATTGAGTCGTAGAGACCATTCAATTAAATTATTATCGTATAACATTTTGAAAATGTTTTGTCTAGTTCTTATCTATTTTTTGTTAGTCCTAAGCTAATTTGTTTTTTAAGGTCTTGTTCGAGACCTATGGTCGCACCAGATGAGTTAAGTATTGTAGTATTGTAGGCTTATCTCATAGAGTAATTTCGGATAGGGTACACCGTCTGCTCGTCACGCTATCTTATTTTCGGCCGGATAGATTCGTGCAACTTCTTAGTCTAATACCGATCCTAATCTTACTCTTATAACTACTAGTCTCAGGGTGTTTAACTAGTCTCTGCTAGGCTCAATAGATCTAGAGTATACTGGTATTGTTGCGGCTGCTGAAGTACTCGGGAGAGGCAACTATTTTCTAAGTTAAATTCAAATCTCTCTGGTGCTGAAATTACAAGTAATTTCAGCACTTACAAATAAGTGAGTTGTTAGTTAGATGGATTGTGATTGGTTAATATTAAATACTTTACAGTGGTAAGATATCTAAATTATAAATAATAAAATATAGTTTAGATTAGGTTCCAGTTAGCTTCAATTCAATTGATCTTTTCAATTGCAAGAGCAAGTGTAGTTGCAATCTTCTCTCGTCTTAGTTTGTCCTCCATTCAACCGACACGAATCATTCTCATCTCACTGGATGAAAGCGTTATCCAACCACTAGAACCAAAATCAGTATATCGCATTTGTTGATTGAATTGTGTTTCTGAAGTGACCAGTCTACCATTCATATAAAAATTAGAACAAGATTTATACCACCAACCACCTCCTAACCCATACCGTACAGCACAGTTGTCACTGAATTCGTCTTGATCTCTGTCAGTCGTTGTGAAAGCCATTCCGTTGTGATAATCAAGGCCAGTAAAAGTACCAGTGGTGTTGCGCATATGCTCACTCTTTGCCACCATTGTGCCAAAAGATATATGGTAAAAGGGAGCGGGTTGGATCTTGAAGTCTAAAACAGAGCAAATTTATCCTCTTCGAATTACGCTCAAAATTTTTCACCCGAAAGTACACAGATGATTTTTGTTGAAAGACAGCAAATTAAAATCGCTTGTACCAGGCAATACCATGACAATTCTGAATAGCCTTTATCTGCAGAACTCATGTTTTTGTTACATTTTTGAATGTCAAGAACAAAATGACATAATTCTCATTCAGTAACAAAATATTTGTAGCAATTACTTTGCCGTGTTTCATTTTTTTTGCTTTTCAAACCGAAAAACAATTGAAGTCATAAACAGTACCAAACTTTTGAAACTCAATAAAATTTTCAAAAAAGATCTTTATAAGGAAAATTTTTTTAAATAATCAGGGATTGATCAAGACATAGATAAACATGCAATACAAAAAAGGCGGTTCCAGCGTTTTTGAAAAAACTTATGTCAGAGAAATGGAAAAAAAGTTTACTTTATCCAGGACTAAGTTCTGCGCACAAAAAGTTTTTGGGAAATATTTGTTGGAGTACTATAGTTTTTTTTGCTGGTGGAAAAGAATCAATTAATTTCGGAGCATTTTCGAAACTCAAGTTCTTTGAAAATTTAAGAACACCATTTTAGCAAAAGGTATCATATTTGTATGACTAGTATTTTTTTAAACTTAGTTCATCAAAACCGTTTGATGAGCATTTTCGGTCTATGGTGGTCAAGCCGGGGATAGCAGGTTTGGAAAACATTTTTTCGCATAGAACCAATTTTCTGACACAGGTTGAAAAACGATATTGCCTTAAACTCTCAGCATGAAAGTGATCCGATTTACGAAGTGTTCCGATTTGTGATCCATGAAGTGATCCGATGAAGTGATCTCAGCATGAAGTGATCCGATTTTGAAAGTGATCCATATTTCAATTAACATAGAATATTGTTGAAAATTCGGAAAAATAAAATAATTTTTTTTAATCACTCAATTTTCGACTCAAAAACTGGGCGTTTTAATTGAAATTTTGTTTGGCCAATTGAAAAATATTGTTGTCCGGGGCCCAAATCTTAAAAAATTGCACCTATGATAAATGTGTGTAAATTATAGAGGATTTGAAAATAGATATAAATGCCAACTTGGGATAATTATTGGACAATTTTTATATTTATTACATATTATTGTAAATCAGGAACTTTTCTCGATGATATAAGAATCTTTCATATTAAATTTAAAAAAAACATTGAATCACAATTTTGAAGACCTCGATGAAAAATGTGAGAATCCAAGAGAGTTTTCAAAAGTCAACTCGGATTTTCACGGTAGAAAATTGATCCATTGCCAGAAAAGTATTTTTTTGCCAGAAAAATCGGCTCAAATAGATTTTTTGAAGTATTGAAATGTACCAAAAAAATTCAAGAAAAATTACTCAAATATGATTTTTGCTGAAACTTTAGCAACATTTTTACCAAATAACTCCATGAGAGCTTCAGAGAGCTAGAGCCACCTTAAAAAAGTGTAAATCTAAGGGTTACCGCAAAATGTAAGGTGAATTAATTCGCAGCCTAAACAAATATTATTTTTTATCATTGTTCTGGGCGGAATTTTGTCATGCAAATGAACAGATAGAAAAAAAATCAAATTTATCAACTTTAAGTTTTATACTTAAAGTTTCTGGAATTTTTTCAAGTCAAACATTGCAAAATTCAATTGAAAAAATTGAGTTATTTTTTATATCCAACTTTCTTTGTTGTTTGATAGTCTACAAAATCTGAAAGTTATGTGAAGATACACTATTTCAAATGAGTTTAAAAAAGCGGATAAAATTCAGTTCAAATTGATTAGTTCGATTTGTTTGTTACTGAAATCTGTATAAATTTAAAACCAAAAAAATGCCAAAAAATGGACTTAAATGATTTTAAAACCGAAAAAAACTAGTTTTTGTATTTTGTTTTAATCAGACGAAATCAATTTTGAGTTAATTCATAGCAATTTTTTTTTAAGTATGAATCTGTATGAAAAAGATTGCAATCCATTTCATAATAGAATTCTTAATCCAAGCCGTTGTTTTCAACATTTTCACTATCTTAATTAGACCGTTAGTTTTAAAACACGTTAAGTTGCACAGAGATCAAAATAGCTAATTAAAAGTGCAATTTAGTTTGACGATGCCCTTTTTATTGATTGAAATCATTTTGCGGTTGTTTTCTTGATATTTTTTTCTCATTTTAAATATTTTCATTGAAAGCTGTGTAATGATGACTGTTTGCTTAGTTTACCTGACCATTCGCCCCAAAAAAGTGTACTGTCAGAGAAATTGCGCATCGAAACTCGAAGGTTCCATCTTCCTTTTTGTGTCAACCTGTGCATTCTGTTCAACCCCAGCCACATATCTCCTGGTCCGGAAAAGTCTCCAAAACCTGCTTCATACTCCTCAAAAGTGCGGTTGAATAAAATGTCAAATTGTTTCCGCCTCTGTAAAACTATCTCCTGTCCCAGCTGAAATACGTGTCAACTTAAAAACTATCATCCCTTTTAAGAAGAGGAGTAAATTTTTTGTAGTTAGATTTTTCGATAAATCAGAATGCAGCAGAAATTGAATTATATATAGAGCTCTCTAGGGCAAAATTACTGCTGTTATTTATAGGGGGGGCATCTTTTTAGTAGATATCATGGAGAGGTTGACTGCTAAGTAGAACCTGAAGTGCTGCATCACTAAGACAATGAATTTCTTCTCATTGCTATAATGGGTCTTTTTTGTTTTACTGCCCAAAATTATCAGAAGGTTTAATATGTAATTTTTTGTTTAAAAATCAGTTCAGAGTCCGTTCAGATTCCGTTGATTTATAACTAATTTTAGCCAATCAGATTAAAAACCTCAAATATTATCGACAAAACACCAAAAAACATCAACTTCAGTCGTATAACAAAAAAGACCCGCTTTCCGCTTTTAATTCCGAGGCTAAGTTAGATGTAATTGCTTCGTTTTGACATGCGCCGCTCTTATAGTTAGCATTTTTTTAGTGAAATTGATTCAATTTTGATACAAAAATTTTTATATACCAATTTTTCATGGTTTAAGGGGAGTAAGAAGACCCTCAGATAAATCTTTTATTCGGCTTTTTAAAAATTTGTTGCTGCAAATGCTTGAATAAAATTATTTTATTTGTAGATGTTTTTTTTTATTTTTTTAAATATTGCTTTTCTAAGATGAGCATTTTAGTTATTAGCCTCCAGGATAGTTTTTTCCGTTTTCATTATCCGCTTTTCGCATTTGTTTTCATGTATTGTGATTGCAATGCTGCAAGATTTTTTGACCTTTTTTTTGACATTCAATAGTAAAATTTCCTCAATCATACACAGAAAACGATTTTTGTAGATAACTTACTGTTATGTCTTTCAGATTCACCTCTACCCTCTCAATTCTGCTGGATACATTTGCTAAATCACTCGCAACACTATCAATTTTGATTGAAATAGTAGCCATATCACCCGCAACCATAATTGAATGATAGGCCAAATCACTCTCAACTCTCTCAATTCTGCTGGATATGTTTGATAAATCATTCGCAACATTGTTTGTATGATTGGACAAATCACTATCAACTCTCTGAATTTTGATTGAAATGTTTTTCATGTCACGCTCAACCATGTTTGAAAGAAAGGCCAAATCACTATCAACTCTCTCAATTTTGATGGAAATGTTTGCCAAACCGTCTGCCAGTCGAGCGAGGTTTTCCGTAATACGATTGCTGTTGACATCGTTCACTCGATTCACATCAGTGTGTTGTGCCTTGATCTTTTTTGTTTCATTTGATAAGGAAAACGTCAGGAACAATAGAACGACAACCAATGTCTAAATAATTGAAACAAAATATCAGTACAAGGAATAAACTAAGAAAAGAAATTTATTGGAATTGGGCTTCTCGTGCAGTTTAAAAAAACACAAAAATTGAACAATCCTCCATCAAATGCCTCACAATTTTTGTTTCTCTTAGTGACAACCAGTTTGAGTTTGACGAAAGAATCAGTTTCAATTAAATGTTTTTTGATTCAAACTGTTGCTTGTGATCATTTATCCTTTTTGGCGCCAACATGACTAATTTTGAGGGGGGAGCGCGCGCCAAGAAAACGCAATTTTTCGGTCAAAATTTTTTTAGAACGCTTTTTAGGTCTGGTTTTTTTGAAAAATTTGCCTGCGGCGAACACTTTTCACACAATAGGGTCTTTATACTATTTTAGGAGAGCTCGGAAAATCAAATTGGTCGACTTGAAAAAAGTCCACGAAATTTGCATTTTTTTTTCGAAAACAACCCCCCCCCCCCCCACCAGAAAACTTTCTGCGCACGCCACTGGGTTCAAGTTATACCATTTCAAGTATTTTTCAAACGCTCTTGTTCATCAACTTTCCTTTTATTACTCACAAAAACAACAATTGTTTCGCGTCACTGACACACTGGCAAAAAATTTTTTGAAAAAAGTCATGGCTTATACTTGCGCTCATCTGTTTTCATTTTCCAATCAATTTAGTTTATGCAAGCTAATGCTTTTGATAAAAATTCTCACAACTTTTTTCAAATGAAAGTTCAATCAACAACCCCGTACCCAGCAAATACTTTTGAATTGTTTAGAAAAACATATAAATAATCTGAGCTATGCTTAGTGCTTTTGAACAAAAAAATCTATCTCTTATCTGACATTAGAAACAAGCAATTTCAAGAGAAGTCTAAGCTCATTCCACCGCTCTACCATTTCATGCTAGATCTAAACGTTTTGAGTATACAAAATAGTGTAGCATCATGATGAGTTAAAAAAATTCCCTCTGACACCTCCGGTTTAAAAGTATAGTACTGTGTACTCTAGCAGGGGCGGCGGATCTAGGATTTTCTCGAGAGAGGGGGATTTTCAAAAAAAAAACTCGAAAACTTTTTCGACCGTTCTTTTGAGATAGATCAATTTAATTTAATGATATCTCACGAATGACTTATAAAATCCCGATTTGACCAAACTTTCTGCTCCGCAGGCAAATTTTAGAAAAAACAGGCCGAAAAATTGAGCTTTGAAAAAATTTGCTAAAATTATATATTGGCGCCAAAAGCGTCTTAACAAAAATGGGCCAAAAAGCCGCTCAACTGTCATTATGTATCTTTAAAAACGCTCGCTCGAAATTTCAAAAAACTTGATTAATTCCCAGTTTAATTCCATAGTTTGATTTGCACTTACTGCCAAAACAACAACGGCAATCACCAATGCGATCATCATAGCCATGAAACATTTCACAGGCCAATTATTAGCTTGCGGCTCTTTGTATTCCTTCCGTCCGCCGCTGCGCTGAGTATTCGCCGGCTCCTCGTAAACATATTTGCTACCGGAAACCTGCTCATCTTGTTCAATGTTCGCCGACTCCTCATAAACGCTATCTTCTCGTTTGTTACCGGAAATCTGCCCATCTGCATTGACATTACGAGTCCAAACTGTGCACTGGATAAGGAGCCTTTTTTGTGTCTGTATGTTCCTGGATTCCAGAGATAAGTCTTTAAACATGTTAAAATTTTGTCGGAACGATTAAAGAGAAGGACAGAACAAAGGGAGCGTCCTTGTTGCGGAATCCGCTTACAATGCACAAAATGCACAGTTTGGCCTCGTAATGGATGTTCGAGTTAGATTCAGTATTTTGAAATTGGAAAATAACGTCACCAGTCGTTGTTTTGAAAGATGCCATTTGCGTGTTGTTCATTAAAAATATTGGTTACCCCTTTTTCAAATGCGCTTGTAAAGTGTATGTATAACCACTGATATCAAGAACTGTTCTCTTATCTATCTTTTACATTTACTGTACAAACGTTCAAATAGCTTTATGAACGACTAAGAATCTGGCTCTCTACCTGGCTTATGTAAAAAAGCTATTCTAAAAGATCATTCATAATCCAGTTAAAACTATTTTTTGGTAATTTAATCAAATGCGCTCGAACTATAAATATTTACGTCGAGTTAAAACTAGTTTTATTGTACTTTTATCAAAATACCATAAATATCTCTGATCATATCAACTGTGACTTAAAGGTAATTTGAGAAAAATGCGGTATAAAAAATCTAATTGTGATTCACATGCAGAACATTGATTTCTTGCAGATTTTTTTTGCGGTTCTCATCTAAACCGAAGACATTGTTTTGCTTTCCGTATACGGCGGCGCTTCTGGCATGGTAGGACACTGCTGATAACCCCCAGAATCTGAAACTGGGTACGGAAGCAATTGCTCCTGCGAACTTTGATGAGGTTGGTTATAAGAATGACCCCCTGATGGCGGGCAAGGATTTGGGTTCGGCGACTAGTTGTTGTAGGCCCCTGGATAATGTCCAGGTGCTGCTGATTGGTTGGTGGGTGTGTACTGGTACCCTTGTGGTATGTTTGGGTTTTAGTAGTTGGGAGCACATCCAGGTGCAGTTGGGGGCTAATGTTGCTTGCGGAAAACAAAAAAAAACTAACACAAACCCAAATACAAAGATCCTACACATTTCTCAAATGGTCGGAACAACAGCAAAAAGTCTAGTGAACATTGGGGAAAGTAGATTTATCAAAAAAGAATCTTGGAGACACAGGGAGCTCTATGAAGCTAAGAGCTGTTGCAAAATAAATTATTCTCGAGATCGTATCCCATGTATTAGCTCTTTTTCATGCTTTTGGTTCTTTTGAAGTTGTGCACCATTGTCAGAGCAAAGTTGATAGTAAAACTGTTTAATAACTAACATATACACCAGTGGATAAAATAAAGTGCAGATTCTGAACTTTTGTCTCTAAAATGCATGTTTTCGCGTATGATTTGAACAAAATTTAGTGAAAACTTAACCAAACTTTTCACCCAGACCAATAGCAAATGATCAGAGCTTCCCTCCGTGAAATTTTTCAAATTTGGTTTCCAGGACTTAAATTCACAGTTTTTTTTTGGGTCAGAACAGGCCATTTTAACAATTCACTAGGTTTTGCATCGGTGTGAACTTCTTTATGAATGAGTGGAGAAAAATATTTTCAAGCGATTTGAAACATTCTAAGCAATAAAATTGATTTGTTCAGTATTCATTTATTAGTCTAGAAATTTTTTAGTCTTTGTAAAATTTTGTTGAAATTCTTTGTCAAAGATGTGCGAAATCATTCTTTGACCCAGGGCTGGATCTAGAATTTTCTCGAGGTGCCAGGGACGGATTTCCAAAATTTTCCAAGCTCTTCAATTTCCAAGCTCTCCCGCAGGCAAAATTTTAAAAAACAGGCCAAAAAAGGCGTTTTAGGCATTTTTGGAAACTTTTGACCTAAAGATCGTGTCTTTTGGCGCGCGATCTCCCCTCAAAATAAGTACATATTGGCGCCTAAGGCGCTTCTAGAATTTTTTAGGGACAGTCAGCCAAAAAATGGATATCTCAAAATAGAATTTGGGGGCTCCTTTGGGTCACCAGGGGTTCGAATCCCTGAGGGAGGAGAGCGTTGAACACAAGCGCTTTAGAGATAAAACCCAAGTTTGCGCTTAATTTTGTTCACCATTGTATATGCTATTTTCAACAAAATTCAAGTCAGCTATTGGACGCGTTGCTAGCCATTATTGTTACAACTTTGGTTACACCTTTGACTCAAATTAGTTGTCCAAAACATGATGCTCTATTTTAAGAATTACAGGGTTCTCCTGTTTGTATAACTCCCCTGATATACTGCTCTGTTGAAAATTGCATCAATCAACTTCCGCACAGTTTTGTGCCCCTGATCCTAAGAAAATCATATTTTTACTTTTCTAGAAAAGTTCCAACGAATTTTTATAATTTGTACCTTGATTTGGCAATCAATAGCGTAGAAAAGAGACAAGTGTTTCTGAAAAATTAGGTCACCAAATTTTCTGCACAAGGTTTTAGCGTTTTGGCAAAGTCTTCACTCAGAAGAACGATAAAAAAAAACGAAAAAACAGTCCAGACTTTTATAATTTGTATTGACTAAGCTACGTTTTCTTTATCTTGCTATCGTCAAGCAGACCGAATTTCAGACTGACGCAGATGGACACGCGTGAAGTTTTTGGTTTCGAAATATACAGTGCTGATTTAAATTAACCGGACAAAACGCGTTGAACTTGAAAGTTAAAACGCATTTTTCTCAAATTGGGTTAAGTTTAGGAGAAAATTTATGAAGACAAAACTTGGTTAAACTTTTAGCAGAAGTAATTTGGTAGCATTTGTGTTGCGAAGTTCGGGCCCAAAATTTTACCCAAAAAGTGGGTCATTTTGGTTTTTCTTAATTAATCAAAAATTACACCGAATATACTCAGTCGATCACAGACATAATTATATCAAAGGGAGCCTCTTACGTAGCCCAACAAACTTTATGAAGGGTATTCTCTCCAAAAGAAATTTGGAAATTGTTTAAAAAATGTTTTTAAATAAAAAAATTGGTATTTTACGTATTTTCAACATGTTTTCTTGCTGTGTTTGAAAAAATCGTCTTTTGCTTTGGCGCAATTTATAAAAAAAATTGTGCATTATTTGGAAAACTAGTGAAAAATTTGAAAAACAAGTGCAATATTCGGATCACTTGTGCAATATTGTTACTAAAGTTCTCAATCAAAAATAGAAGAGTATGTTTTTGCTGTTACATACCTGCTCTTTCACGAGAAGTCATGAATAAAATATGAAATATTAGAACTCATGAAAGAGAAAGGAAATCATTAGCATAGTTTTGCGCTTTTTTGCGAGCTTTTTTTTGAAAGAAGTCAGATAAAAATAATTGAAACAGCAAAACAAACAGAAATAGCAAAAACATATTTCTCAACAGTTAGAACATAGTTGAAGATGGTCTCGGACAAAAGAGCCCAACCTTGGGAATTTCGTGTCCTCAGGCCGCGCTCTTTTTTTCTCGGGCATCTTTCAACTATGTTCTAACTCAGAAAAAATCACCTAATAGCGTGAAAATTTTTCAAGGAAGTGTTTTTTTTTCTTGCATGTGTTTCATACCAGATAATTGACAGCTTATATTATATTCTGTAAATTGTTCTTATCTCGAACCCCCGTGTCACGATTTCATCGCAAAATTTATCGATTCAAATTATAGCTGTTCTCCTAAAAGAATCTTATTTTCGTGCTTTGTTTAAACATCAAATATTTGAAACAGATAGAAAAGACTACGTGTTGGCCAGAGCGTTTTACACTAGTGGACGAAATTAAGCGCAAATTCAGGATTTTACTCTGTAAACGGCCTGTTTTTAATGTTAATTTTGAACGACATTTCGTTCCAAATTCAGTAAAATTTTAACATTGACCGAGAGCGAATGGTCAGAGCCACCATCAGTGAAAGTTCCAATATTTGGTTTCAATGACATTCCAATGTAATCCAGATCCAAAAGTGCCAGTTTTCCTCACCTGAACAAAATTTTTTACTTCGCGTGGATGAATAACAAACTGAGTTTAAGTCTGAGTTTAATAAAAATTCACGCTGATTGTTTTCATTGTCATTTTTTGATATATTTTCTTTGAATATCAGTAAATATGTATCATGCGACGTGGAAAATTCTTACTAAAAAAATGAATTAATCAATGTAAAATACTTACCAAATTCGGCTGTTTCTTTTTTTCACGCAAAGTCAAAAATTTAGTCTAAAAAACTGTTCTATAGAAAAAAGTCTGAATTTGCGCTTCGTTCTCTAGTGTATCTGAAAGTTTGCACCAGCTGTTTAAGTTTTCCTCAGATACTTAGCTTCAATATACCAGCAGTTAATTAGTTTTTCTAATTTTCGAAAACATCTGTCCAAGGTTTTTAAAAAAAAATCATCGTGTATTTTAGAACAAGCAAGAGTTTTTAAATGAGATCATTTTTTTCTTTGAATATTTAAAAAAGCGGTGATATGGTTTCTTTCGTATTTATCATATCAGTAGGCTAAAAAAATCAGGTATCTAAAAAAATGTGGCTTTAGTGCGCTTTCCTAAACCCTTACCTGTTTTCGCATACTGAATCTACATTAGCGGGCAAATTAAGCTCAAAATTACGTTTTTCAGCCTAAAATGCTTTTTTTTAAAAAAAATTTGGATAACAAAATCTAAAACTTAATCAAAAACTGACTAGAGTATCAACTTTTGGTTTGAAGCTCTAACAAAATTATTTCAGGTTTGAAAATGTCAGTTTTTACTACCTACAATAGGCTTTTCAATGATGTTAACTTGGAGAGGATGCTACGTTGCAGATCAGTTCCATGCAAAAATATAGACAAAAATGGATAAATTTTGTCTAAACGGTTTTTCAAGTTGGGCAAATAAAACAGTATTAACATAGTTTTTTATGTATTTTTATCTTCTAGTGTATCATATCAAAAGTAGCTGATAATTTCTCAGAGAAAAAATTCTTTAAAAAGTAGCGAGCGATATGATTCAAACAAACCTTTTTGAATCATTTTAAAGTAATATTTTGGACAGATTTTTTGAGTAGTTAGATGAGCAAATGGTTCAATTTATTTAGTGCAAAAAAATTTAAGTTGTTTTGAAAGTTTGTAAATGCCCTATGTTAACTTTTGCCTTTTGCAGCATGTTGCTTCAATGGCAAGAGTTCTTTCTTGGACAAGCGAAATAAAAAAAAATTCAATGGTTTTTTACACAGTCACATCTAACAGTTTAAATAGTTTGGTTAGACACTTTAGGCAATTTTATAGACTGGGCGACGATAAAGAAGCAACGTAAAGTTTGTTTGCAGCGAAAAACTTCTTCATGATATAATTTTTAGACTTTGCAAATTCGATTGATTTCTCTGATACCTAAGACAGTTTTTGAGAACTTGTTTTGAGATAACGTTTTAAATGATAGTTTGTGATGTCGAGCTCTGACGTGTCTTCTAATTTCAGGTCTACCACAGCCTGACCAATTTCAACTGCAATAGTGGTACCACATGAAATTTCTAGACGCATA